AAATTGAATTGAAAGAGTTGGCATTTTCCCCATTTCTCTGTGTATTTATGTATGCGTTCGTGCACACACGCACACGCACACGCACTCTCTCACTGATTCACACACACTTCTCACTCTCACTCTCGCTGTCACTCTCACTCTCACTTTCACTTTCACTTTAATTTTCTCCTTCACTTTCCATCTCACTCTCACACTTATACTCACAATCACACTCATCCTAACATTCACATCCACACTTGCACTTACACTCATGCACACGCTCGCTCTTGCTCTCACTCTCACTCTCACTCTCACTTACTCATTCACTCATTCACTCACTCACAAACATACATACATACACATACGTACATGCATGCAAGCACAAACAAGGACACACAGGCAGTAGGCGCGTGCACGCACGCCGCACGCACGCCGCACGCACGCCGCACGCACGCAGCACGCACGCCGCACGCACGCAGCACATACGCCGCACGCACGCCGCACGCACGCAATCACGCACGCACGTACCCCCCCCCCCCCGGCACACACATACACACACACACACACGCACACGCACACGCACACACAGACACAGACACACACAGACACAGACACACACAGACACAGACACAGACACACACACACACACACACACACACACACACACACACACACACACACACACACACAGACACACACACACACACACACACACACACACACACACACACAGACACACACAGACACACACAGACACACACAGACACACACAGACACACACACACACACACACACACACACACACACACACACACACACACACACACACACACACACACACACACACACACACACACACACATATACACACATATACATGCACATAAAGACAAATGAGTACATACACAAAAGTACATACACACACAAATACACCCATGCATGTGTATACCTACATGCACATAAATGAGGCTGTCTTTAAGTGTGTATATCAAGTCAATCAGAGAGAGAGAAGGAAATACTACTAATTTGACCAGTCTATTAAAAGGACCTTGACTGCGAATTTCTTAAAAGCAGGTCATTGCTGCTCTCGACCTAGTTATTGAATTATATGTTCTGTATAGATCCCTTTTTCAGTCATATTTGTAACCTACTGGACTTTCATGTATGTTTTGTTTTGAAGTTTTGTTGATAGCATTGGCCCATTCAGTTATGCATGGTTGTTTGTGGAAATTTGATGTCTGTGTGTCTGTTCAGAAGTAAGGTTTTATTGTGTACTGTGTGTTCTGTTTTTGAAGCCCTTCCTGAATTTTAGCAATTGTTTCAAGTTCTGGATAGTTTTCTACATGTGGTTTTGATTTGCATTTGTTATTATGTTCTATAAACTTTTATTTTATGTCTTCATACTGATGGACATGTATAGAGAGTGCTGGATGTATTAGGTATTTCATGTTTCAGTTATAATTCAGAGGACAAATGTCTGTCATCCTTGACTTTATTAAGGAAGGAGATTTTGCATGGAAACTGGTGTGTTAGGGAAAGACTGTTGAAAGGATTTTTGCAGATTATTGGTTACTTTTTGTGCTCTAAAAGTACTCATTACTTTCTTCTTCCTAGGTTCTGGTACCTGAGCCTGGTCGCATGTGTCCGCAACTCCTCTTGCTCCTGGCAGCATGTACGTAAACCTGTGAGAATGGAGTATGATATAAATATTGTCAATGGCAATCCTAATGGTGCAGACCACAACCCTTTTGAGTACCACTTCTCTTTTGACAAGCAGGTAAGTGTATTTTTCAGTAAGAGATTCATTGTAAAGAATAGTAGTAAGATACATTGTGAAATATAGAAATTTATATAATTTTACTCTGCATTCATAAATGCAGTTCTAGACAGAATTCGTTCTCTATATTATGTGCTTTTTGGTCACAAATTTCTGTAATATATTAATCAGGTATCATGTTTAAGTAGGAAGTATCAAGAACCATTCCTGACTCTTGTTATAAAGCACTAGAGATTTTGATGAGCAAAATAGAAAGCTAACTTTTTAATTGACTTTCTTTTAACAGGACACAGTAGAAATATATCTGGTATGTGTGGTACTCTATGGCTTTTTGTTGGTGCCACTACAGGTGTATGCAGCATGTCGCCAGGTGAGAAGATATATGTTTATATATTTTTTTCTGTATGTTTCTTTGTCTTTTTCCTTTCTTTTGGTGATCATAGAACAAAAAAAGTGAATGTATTAGTCGCAGGAATCATTGAGATTCCTTTATTTGTCTGAGATTTTTTTTTTTTTTTTTTTTTTTAATAACACTCTTGGTATTTAGAGAAATAATATGTTAGCAGTAGTTATATCATTATTGAGGTTGTAGGGATATCTTGCGTTGTTGTGTGGTCTATTATTTATGTATGTTTTAATTAATTTTATAATGATTTTCTTTTTCTTTAGAAAAGGGTAAGGTGATACTTATAGGGGATTTTTCTTTGTTACCTTGGAGATTTTCTTTTGTACATAATATAGACTTTATACAGAGTTGTTTTATAAGTAGCAATGATGTTCATAATTAAACACAGGTTTATTACTTTATTCCATTCATGACATTCAGATGTACTGTATTGACATATATTTTTAGCATCATTAAATATATTATAATTGTAAAGGATCATTTGGTTGACTGTTTGTTTAATTTTACATAACCATAAACTATTTTAATGTGCCTCTTGTGGTACAGATTTCTTTCTTTCCCTTTTATTTTTTAGTATCACAAACTTTCAGAGTTGTATACTGTCAAATGTTAGAAGCTTCTATGTTCTGTGTTTCAAAATTCCAAACTTTACCAAATTTCAAAGCTTTTGATGACTGTATTCTAGGTAAAATGGCAGTACTTTACTCTTTCCATTTTCTTAACAATGGCACACCTTTACAGATCCACCCCATCACCCGCCTGTTCACAGCCACCCTCATCATGCAACTTGCGGGCCTTCTCTTTGATACGCTGCACCTGCTAGTGTTTTCCTTTGATGGGGAAGGCAGTGAAGGAGTGAATATCGTGGGTGACCTCTTCAACATTTTGGCACAGGTAGGAATCCCTTTTTCTCTTTTCTTTTCTTTTGTTTAGATTTTTTTTTTCAGGTTAGTTGTAAATTTTTTTGTTTTTTGATTGTTGTGACGTGATATATTTTGTTTTGTCTTTTTTGTTTGATTTCTTCAGACTGTGTTTTGTGAGTATCGGTGAATGATATAGATGTACTGTGTACTGTCTTTGATTTGCTTTGTTGATGCTTTTGTAGTCTATTTTGTGGCTTCTGCGAATCTTACATGTGTATGAAATAAATGGTAAATAATATAAATCATATAAGGTAATATTTATTCATTGATTTACTTATTTTTTCAGCATATCTTTGAATAATGAGTACATTTGTACATGATGTCCACATTTTCCCCCTGTATTTATATTATAAACAAGCAAACATTTGCCTAGAAACTGGTCAGTTTGTTTTATTTATTTGGTAATAGATATATTGATTTTAAAAGCTAAATAACATCCTCTGTGCCTATCATAAATCACCTTCATTTCCAAAGCACATTCTATTCTCCTGGAAGGAGATACTGTTAATAATACTTTTTATCTTCACAGGACTATAAAAGTAATGCTGATTGTACTGTTTCCTTTGAAAAATGTATTAACGTTAGCTTAAAGATTTCCATGGTTATATGCTAAGTAACACCTGATCACAAAAGAAAACAAAATATACAAGTTTGTTTCATAGTTAATAGGAGGCTGAATGAGTTAACTTCTAAAATTTTCTTTTTCAGTCATTGTTTATGATGTTACTACTGCTGCTGGCCAAAGGATGGGCTATCACGCGCATGATGCTGACTCAACGTCTCCTCCTGTTCTCACTCTGGGCACTCTACTCCATCCTAATCCTCACACTTTACTTCTGGAATATGGTGAGCATCTGCTTAGTTTTAATTGGAGGATGATGATGTTATTTAAAAATGCCTTTCACTTTATTATTTATTTATTTTTTATTTTTTTGCTTTCCTAGGGTTTATTGATATGTTTTTCTTATTGTTAGCCTTATCTTTGTATTACTGAGGCTTTGATCATGTGTTTAACATCAATCAAAACTTTTTCAGATGGAGGTGGATGTAATAGAAGACATAGACGAGTATCAGACGTGGCCAGGGTGGTTAACCTTGGCATTGCGCGTACTTATAATGATATGGTTCCTGGTTGAACTGCGCAACACGATGACCTATGAGCATAATTCCAACAAACTTCATTTCTTCCTGCACTTTGGGGCTGCTTCTCTTGTCTGGTTTATTTACTTACCTGTTGTGGCTCTGATTGCTCTACAGGTGTCCCCACTTTGGAGATACAAACTCTTGTTAGGTGAGTTTACTTCTGTAGTAATTGAATGCAATATTTCCAAGTCCAATAGAATCTTATTATATCAGGTAAATTAGGCTGTAACTTTGAGGTGCTCAGAGTAGATTAGGGGGAAATTGTAAAATCTGTATATTTATATATCTGATAGTTTGTATAATATTTTGCTTTTCAGCATTCAAAGATTAAATGTGTGGCAAAACCAACCATAGAATTAGTTTTTAACCCATAAGATCCTCAATTTGGTAATCTTGTCTTGCTGCCCAACTGCAAATAGGCATCAAATTTTCATCTTTCACTTGTGTGTTTTTCATATTTGATGTTTGTAGAGCTCAAATTTACAAACCAGGTAATGTGAGTCTCATGCTGGTATGTAACATTGTAATTGAACAGCTGAGTGTCAGTTGAAAAAAAAATACTGTTTTCATTGAAAATAAAGGGAAGAAGGGGAGAGGAAGAGAGGCGAGAGAGAGGGGAGAGGGGAAAGGAAGAGAGGAGAGGGGAGAGGAGAGTATGGGAGGGGAGAGGAGAGTATTGGAGGGGAGAGGAGAGTATGGGAGGGGAGAGGAGAGTATGGGAGGGGAGAGGAGAGTATGGGAGGGGAGGGGAGAGGAGAGTATGGGAGGGGAG